CAAATAAACTGGTTTTTACTAAAGGCTAAGTGTCCAAATTTGAGAGATTAATGCAATTTGCTAAACCAGAAACTAAGCCTGATGCACCTTCATCACCAATTTAATTTATACTTTTTAAATATTTAAGAAAAAATATACAATTAAATAGTTAATTAGAAGGAAATAATGAAGAAAGAATATGAAATAATAAGATAGATTAATTAATAATAAAAGCAAAAGTTAAAAATAAAATGATGAGTTAAATAAACAAAGAAATAACAAAAAAAAAAGCAAGCACAATAAAAAGAAAAAGAAAAAAGAGCTTTATTGTTTTAAATTAGTTTTTATAATTAAAAATATCACAATCCAAAACAAATAAACTGTTTTTACCCAAGAATAAGTGTCAAATTTGAGAGATTAATGATATTTGCTAAACCAGAACCTAAGCCTGATGCACCCTTTGTACCAATTTTATTTTCACTTTTTAAATATTGAAGAAAAAATATATCATTAAATAGTTAATTAGAAGGAAAAAATGAAGAAAGAATATGAAATAATAAGATAGATTAATTAATTAATAATAAAAACAAAAGTTGAAAATAAAATAATGAGTTAAATAAACAAAGAAAGAACAAAAAAAAAAGCAAGCACAATAAATAAAAAAAGAAAAAAGAGCTTTATTGTTTTAAATTAATTTTTATAATTAAAAATATCACAATCCAAAACGAATAAACTGTTTTTACAAAAGGTGAAGTGTCAAATTTGAGAGATTAATGCAATTTGCTAAACCTGAACCTAAGCCTGATGCACCTTCATCACCAATTTAATTTCTACTTTTTAAATATTTAAGAAAAATATACCATTAAATAGTTAATTAGAAGGAACTAATGAAGAAAGAATATGAAATAATTAGATAGATTAATTAATTAATAATAAAAGCAAAAGTTGAAAATAAAATAATGAGTTAAATAAACAAAGAAAGAACAAAAAAAAAAGCAAGCACAATAAATAAAAAAAGAAAAAAGAGCTTTATTGTTTTAAATTAGTTTTAATAATTAAAAATATCACAATCCAAAACGAATAAACTGTTTTTACAAAAGGTGAAGTGTCAAATTTGAGAGATTAATGCAATTTGCTAAACCAGAACCTAAACCTGATGCTCCTTCATCACGAATTTAATTGTAACTTTTTAAATATTTAAGAAAAAATATATCATTAAATAATTAATTAGAAGGAAAAAATGAAGAAAGAATATGAAATAATTAGATAGATTAATTAATTAATAATAAAAGCAAAAGTTGAAAATAAAATGATGAGTTAAATAAACAAAGAAAGAACAAAAAAAAAACAAGCACAATAAAAAGAAAAAGAAAAAAGAGCTTTATTGTTTTAAATAAGTTTTTATAATTAAAAATATCACAATCCAAAACAAATAAACAGTTTTTACTAAATGCTAAGTGTCAAATTTGAGAGATTAATAATATTTGCTAAACCAGAACCTAAGTCTGATCCACCCTTTGTACGAATTTTATTTTCACTTTTTAAATATTGAAGGAAAAATATATCATTAAATAGTTAATTAGAAGGAAAAAATGAAGAAAGAATATGAAATAATAAGATAGATTAATTAATTAATAATAAAAGCAAAAGTTGAAAATAAAATGGTAAGTTAAATAAACAAAGAAAAAATAAAAAAAAAGAAAGCAAAATAAAAAGAAAAATAAAAAAGAGCTTATTTGTTTTAAATTAGTTTTTATAATTAAAAATATTACAATCCAAATTAAATAAACTGTTTTTAACGAAGATCAAGTGTCAAATTTGATAGATTAATGCTATTTGCTAAACCATAACCTAAGCCTGATGCACCCTTTGTACCAATTTTATTTTCACTTTTTAAATATTGAAGAAAAAATATATCATTAAATAGTTAATTAGAAAGAAATAATGAAGAAAGATTATGAAATAATAAGATAGATTAATTAATTAATAATAAAAGCAAAAGTTGAAAATAAAATAATGAGTTAAATAAACAAAGAAAGAACAAAAAAAAAAGCAAGCACAATAAATAAAAAAAGAAAAAAGAGCTTTATTATTTTAAATTAGTTTTTATAATTAAAAATATCACAATCCAAAATAATAAACTGTTTTTACTAAATGCTAAGTGTCAAATTTGAGAGATTAATGCAATTTGCTAAACCAGAACCTAAGCCTGATGCACCTTCATCACCAATTAAATTACACCTTTTTAAATATTGAAGAAAAAATATATCATTAAATAGTTAATTTGAAGGAAAAAATGAAGAAAAAAGATGAAATAATAAGACAGATTAATTGATAATAAAAGCAAAAGTTGAAAATAAAATAATGAGTTTAATAAACAAAGAAAGAACAAAAAAAAAAACAAGCACAATAAAAAGAAAAAGAAAAAAGAGCTATATTGTTAAATAAGTTTTTATAATTAAAAATATCACAATCCGAAACAAATAAACTATATTTACGCAAGGTAAAGTGTCAAATTTGAGAGATTAATGCAATTTGCTAAACCAGAACCTAAGTCTGATGCACCCTTTGTACCAATTTTATTTTCACTTTTTAAATATTGAAGAAAGAATATATCATTAAATAGTTAATTAGAAGGAAAAAATGAAGAAAGAATATGAAATAATAAGATAGATTAATTAATTAATAATAAAAACAAAAGTTGAAAATAAAATAATGAGTTAAATAAACAAAGAATGAACAAAAAAAAAAAAGCAAGCACAATCAAAAGAAAAAGAAAAAAGAGCTTTATTGTTTTAAATTAGTTTTTATAATTAAAAATATCACAATCCAAAACAATTAAACTGTTTTTACACAAGACCAAGTGTCAAATTTGAGAGATTAATGCAATTTGCTAAACCAGAACCTAAGCCTGATGCACCTTCATCACCAATTTAATTTCCCCTTTTTAAATATTTAAGAAAAAATATATCATTAAATAGTTAATTAGAAGGAAAAAATGAAGAAAGAATATGAAATAATAAGATAGATTAATTAATTAATTAAAAATAAAAGCAAAAGTTGAAAATAAAATGATGAGTTAAATAAACAAAGAAAGAACAAAAAAAAAAAAAGAAAGCACAATAAAAAGAAAAAGAAAAAAGAGCTTTATTGTTTTAAATTAGTTTTTATAATTTAAAATATCACAATCCAAAACAAATAAACTGTTTTTACCAAAGCTCAAGTGTCAAATTTGAGAGATTAATGCAATTTGCTAAACCAGAACCTAAGCCTGATGCACCTTCATCACCAATATAATGGTAACTTTTTAAATATTGAAGAAAGAATATATCATAAAATAGTTAATTAGAAGGAAAAAATGAAGAAAAAATATGAAATAATCAGATAGATTAATTAATTAATAATAAAAGCAAAAGTTGAAAATAAAGTGATGAGTAAAATAAACAAAGAAAGAACAAAAAAAAAAGCAAGCACAATAAAAAGAAAAAGAAAAAAGAGCTTTATTGTTTTAAATTAGTTTTTATAATTTAAAATATCACAATCCGAAACAAATAAACTATTTTTACGGAAGGTAAAGTTTCAAATTTGAGAGATTAATGCAATTTGCTAAACCAGAACCTAAGCCTGATGCACCTTCATCACCAATTTAATTTCTACTTTTTAAATATTTAAGAAAAAATATATCATTAAATTGTTAATTAGAAGGAAATAATGAAGAAAGAATATGAAATAATAAGATAGATTAATTAATAATAAAAGTATAAGTTGAAAATAAAATGATGAGTTAAATAAAAAAAGAAACAACAACAAAAAAAAGTAAGCACAATAAAAAGAAAAAGAAAAAGCGAGTTTTTTATGATGGTTTTTAAGTTCGTAAAATTTTTCAAAATTTATTTTTTTCAAAAAAATGATATGTTATTAGAATATACTGTGTATATTATTTCAAATTTAGCATTTTGTGAATTAAAGCTTTCTAAAAACTCAAAAATAAAGCTGTTTTAAGCTAATTTAGCTTTATTTATTATGTTATTAAGAAATATTATATTTCGCCTTTTATAAATTAAAAAGCAAGAAGAAATTAAAAGAGCTTTAATGTTTTAAATTAATTTTTATAATTAAAAATATTACAATCCAAAAAAAATAAACTGCTTTTATTAAGTGTAAGTTTTAATAGCAAAAAATGAAGAAAAAATATCAAAATAATAAAAAATGAATATAAATTATTTAAAATTGAAATGAAAATTAAGTTAAAATATTAAAAAATTTTTGTTTTAATCAAAATCAATGAATAATGATGATAATTTCAATGAGAAAAACTATTTATTCAAATAAATTGAATGTTAAATATATAAAAATAATAATAATAATATAAATAATTATTAATTATTAATAAAATATACCCCAGTTTAATATGGAGCTCCTAATGAGATAAAAGAGAAGAGCTTAAAAACTTTTTTTATTAATTAATATAAATTTAAATGATATTAATAAAAAAATTAATAATTACTTCTTCTAATCTATTATATTCTTTAATCTATTATATCATTTATTTTTTTTTTCAAAAATATTGAATAGCAAGCAATTTATGAAATTTAATTAATTAATTAATTATAGATGGATAAAAAGAACAAATAAATATAATAATTAATTAATTATCTAATATTAATTTATATATTTGGTTTTATAAAGAGATATCACAAAAAAATTAATTTAACATTCATTATTTTAACTTAATATTTGTATTTAAAACATAAACTTTAAAATATATAAAGTAGAGATGGTCAGTTATTTATTTAGTCTTATTTGAAAAAATCCTAGTATTTAATGTTCTTAAATATTATAAAAATAATGTTTATAAGTAGATTTTTCTGTTTTAGCTTAGTAATTTTAGGAATATTTACAATATCTCTAATTATAGCAAGATGTCATACAAAAATTTCTTGGTTATGATACTTATTATAAAATAGATTTTTATTAAATAAATAAAAAATCTGATTTTGATATTTTATAATAGAATTATTGATTTTTGAGTTCGTAAAATTTTTCAAAATTTATTTTTTTCAAAAAAAATGATATATCATTATGTGTATATTATTTCAAATTTAGTATTTTGTGAATTAAAGCTTTCTAAAAACTCAAAAATAAAGCTGTTTTAAGCTAATTTAGCTTTATTTATTATGTTATTAAGAAATATTATATTTCGCCTTTTATAAATTAAAAAGCAAGAAAGAAAAAATAAAGAAAAAATATGAAATAATTAATAGTTAATAAAATAAACAAAGAACGAAAAAAAAAGAAATCATAAAATAAAAATAAAAAGGAAAATACATCAAATAAATTAAAAGAGCTTTAATGTTTTAAATTAATTTTTATAATTAAAAATATTACAATCCAAAAAAAATA